TTAAATTGATCTTGCATGAGTTTTAATGTTTGAAGATCAATTTGTTTAGTTTTCTTTGTTTGTGTGTTGAATTGTCAAATTAAAAAATAACAATAATAGTAGATCCGAGTAAAAAAGAAACAAATATATATTGAAAAAAAATTAAGAATCCAATAGTATAAAAAAATTGTAGAGTTCAACACAAATTATTATGTGGCATTATTGACTCTTTTTTTAGAGTCTCTACGAAAATAGCATACAACGTCAAATATTTTGGGCCTTTCACGTCGAATTCGAGAACGGCGTCATATCGGGAGACGTTAAATTGGCTTCAAATTTAAAAAATTCGACGTAACGTCAAATTTTATCAATAAACGACGTTAATCAATTCTTTTATTTATTTTTAATTAATTGTGATTCTTTTTACAACTCTACGAGACCTGAAAAGTAAAAAAACAACAAATTTCGATTTTTGGTATTTTGTAAAGCATGAACTATGAACGTGTAATATAGTATCAACAACAAACAAAAATGACAAACAACAAACAAGTTCAATCAAACAACAACAACAAAAAAGTTCAACCAAACAACAACAAACAAGTTCAACAAATAAGTTCTTCAAAACGAAAACGAAAACGAAAACTAACCTTGGTTCATCGGAATAAAGTGTTGCCACAAGTGAGAGAGAAAGCATAATGCGCCTATGAAAGACAAGAACACGAAAATAATCGGTCAAAACAAACGAAAATCATACCTAAAGTAGTAAATTAACACGCATTTGTATCAAATAAAAGAAATATTACATGTGATGGTCGTCAAACTTTGTTCGAGAAAAGTTTGAGCAGAGAAGAGGGTCTCGCGCGCTAAGATAAAGTAAATGAATTTTCAATCTCCCGCTCAAATTTATATCCTTTTACGTCGAATTACAATTCTAAATGACGTTTAATAATTTCATTTATTTACAAAAATGCCACCAGTCATTTTTAACGTTGGCTGTTGAGTGGTTCGACGTTCAACGCGTGACGTTATACAGTGTTTTTGCACTAGTGTTTGTATTTTCTTTGATCTCTTCAATCAAGATTTAAATCTTGTAATGTTTTTCACATTATTTGTTCACTCTTTTCTTAAGCTATTAGAGTTCTCTATCAAGCACTAAAAAATTTGGGTGGAAAAAGAAAAACGAGTACTTTAAAAAAAAATCTATAAGTGTGATATACAAGTGAAAATTTAGTAAAACACTTAGAGAAGTTGTAAAGTCTAAATATATTATTATTATTACTAACATTTTCTTACAGGACATGACTTCTTCCCTAAATAGTGATCCTTCATCACTAAGATTGCGACAATTATGGTTGCACTTGAGAAACTGAACATACAAATGATTCAAATGCAACAACACACTCAACCGCAGATTGAAAGAATCCAATAGTGTAATGAAGATGTAAGTGTGACATTGAAGGGAAGGGAGAGAAAGAGAAGCAGACATAATGATTCAAATCGTTTTAGACCAAGGAGGGGTCAAAGACGAAAGGAGTTTGAGAACCACACGCTTGAGAGGATAATGATGAAGAAGAGCATGGTTTTAGAACAAGGTAAGGCCAAAGACGAGAAGAGCTTGGGAACCACACGCCTATAAGAGATAAGATGAGAAAGAAGATTGTTATCCTTAAATTTAAAAAAGCTAATGACTCAGAAGCCTACCTGACATGGGAAATTAAGCTTAACCAAATTACAGTAGACATAGATAGAAGGAGAAAATTGTCAATGTCTACATGAGAACAATTAAAGGTAGCCTCAAAAGAAAAGATTTGTGTCTCCGTATTATAAAAAGGAGGAGATCTTCAACAAATTACAAAGACTTACACAAGAAAATAAGAATGTTGAAGAGTATGTCTAAGAGATGGTGGTCACCTTGATGAAAGTGATATAGAAGAAATACTTATGGCTACGATAGCTAGATTCTTGAATGAATTAAATAAGGAGACTCGAGATGTGGTGTAAATACACCATTACGAGTCTTTGGAGGATTTTATTCACCAAATCACCAAAATAAAACAACAACTAAGAGAAGAAACTCCTACAAGAAATCATCCACCTCATGAGGTATAAGGAGAAATCTAGAAAAGAGAAAACTACATCAACCATTCCTAAATATAAGAAGAAGGATTCTTCAAATGTGTTTAATTTTACTTCTACCCCATATAGTTTATGTTTATACTATTTTATAAAATCAGTTATACTAAAAACATCTAATAATTAAAATTTTAATTTATTTCAACTCCATTGATGACTAAGATAAGTGAATATGGATTTAATTAATAATTATTATATGTGTTTATTAAATGCAATTTACTTTTAGAAAATATCTTTTACCACTTTTTCTTCTTCTAAATTTGAATATTTTTAATGTTTTCTTCAAAATTAGTTGTATATTAACATTAATTTTATATTTAATACATACGTGAATATTACTAAAAGATAACAACTAGGTTCAATTCAATTACTCACTTTTAAAATTCAAACAAAAAGTTATTATACTAAGAGCGTAATATTTGTATATTAAAAGCTAAAATACATCAATAATTTTTATACTAATATTTACTTTTAAATATTATAAATTAAATTAATTTTTCCCTTTTCTTTACTAATTTTATGGTTTTTGTAATTATTTTACCAATCCACTTATCCAAATTATCAGTCTAGTCCAATCTTAAAATAGAAGGTTATACAAGCTAAAAAAATTACTGTTTTAATTAATTAATATTTTAATTGGATAAATCAAATATATATATATATATATATATATATATATATATATATATAATTATTTCGTTATAATTAATAATTAGTTATATTTAATGATAGTTTAAACTATAATATTATTCTAAATATTTATATTATTTAAATAATATAGTATAATTTAATTTTTTTATATTTTAATTTTTAAAAAAAATACCCGAACAGACCAACCACCTATTGAATTGGTGCACAAAACATAATGATCGCAATCTATCCCATCAAATATCCCACTCACATTTACCTAAGTTTCAGCATCTCACTGTTTAGTTCTTTTTTCACTATACATATTTTCAAACTTAGCCATTAATATATACTGTTTAACGTCATCCTTTTTAATATTTTTTTATTCATTTTTGTTAGAAAAAATATCAAGCTCGTATATTTTGTTTAATTAATATTAATACAGTTTAAATATTGACTGGCAATATAATAATAATACGTGACATTACAATATAAATTACATGTAACAATCACTTTAAAATATTTACAATATTATCATTATATTATCATTATTTAAATGATATTATCAACAATTTAATAAAAAATACATAATTTTTTAATAAAATAAAATTTAAATAAAAAATTAAAAACTATTTTAAATTAGATATATAAATAAGTTAAATATGTTTTTCATATTTTAATTTTTTGTCAATTTTTTTTAAATTTGTTCAATTTAGTCTTTTAATTATAAAAATATTTGAATTTAGTTTTCTTAATTAAATTTTATTAATATTATTTAACGTTTTAAATATATTTGTCATTGTTTATAATTGATATATTTTTATTTTAATATTAAGTATAAAATAAATGTTAAATAAATTTTACAAAATTTAATTAGAATAACTAAATTTATATAATAAATAAAAAATTAAATTAATTCAAAATTTTAACCAAGAATTAATTTTATTTTTTACTGAATAAAAATATATTTAATTATATATATTAATCCTAATAATTTCAAAGACAGGGACGTGCAAGAAAAAAGAACTAGGCCTTGAAGAAGGGATGCAGAATAAAGAAAATGAATTAAAGAGTTGGTAATAAAGTTATTGAAAGATAATTAAGAGGTGTGTTAGTAAGAAAGTTAATGATGAAACAGAGAAAAAAAAAGGGAGAAATAGTTAAAGATGAGAGAGAAAAAAGTTTTATTAACAATTAAATATTTCAATTAGTGCAGTATCTCTATTAAATACAGTAATTAATAAAGTTGGCATAAGCATTTATAGTTTCTAGATAACCACGAGAAAATATTAACATTGTTATTATTATATAGATTTAAACATTAATTTGATTTTTATTTTTTGAGTTCATTTAATTTAGTTTTAATATTTATTTTAATTTTTATCATGTTTAATTTAAATTTTTAAATAGTTAGCAAACAGTGAATAATGTTTGTTATATGTAAGTGATTTTTAATTTTTTCTTTTAATTTAGAAATGTTCATGAATAAAAAAATTAAATTCAGCAACAATAATAAATATAAAAAATGAATTAAATATAAAACATGATATATATAACTGATCCATATGGCAGTCATATGATACTGATTTGATTTATTAATATTATCTAAGTTAAGAAATTAAAATGTTAAAACATATAAAAAAACAATTAATACATAATAAATACTGTCTGTTATTTATTAAATAACGTTAGTAAAAAAATGACTAAATTTATAAAAATTAAAATCAAATTAAATAAAATATATTAAAACTAAATTGAATAAAAAATAAAATCAATATTTAATATTGGAACTGAATATTCTTTAAAATGTTAGGAAATGAAATAAACTTTAATAAAATTCTCACAAGATTTTTTTTGTATTTTTCCAACATAATAAAAATATGTACATAAACTAATTAAAAATTAAGAGATGATAAGATATAAATAAGTAAAATAGTAAGTAATACTTTCTGAAATTTTAATCCTTTCCCTTCTTTTATGTTTCTCTTTTAATTGAAATTTTGCTATATTTTTAACATATATGAAAAGATTTAAGAATGTGTTATTTACACTGAAACTGTTACACATATATATTAAACTCGATTTTTCAAAAGAAACCCGTTAACCTCTTTTCTTACATCTATGGAAAGTTTCTTAAATTTAAAAAGTATAAATTACATACAAATAATTTTCTTAAATATGACATTTGAAAAAAATAATAATTTAAAGCTATATAAGTCGGTGTATGTGAGATATTATCCTTTTGAAAAAGAAAGAGAAAATAAAGATAGGTTGGTCAATGTGTTCATGTTTCTGTCTTCAAACTTCAAAACAGAAACTTGAGCAAGCTGGCTAACCTTTGGTCAACCAATGAAAGAAAAACGACACCTTTCAGCAAACTTTCTTTATTACTTCTTTCTTCTTCATTGATATCCGTGTGAGAGAAGCCAAAGAAAACTCCTAACTCATGTGGATGTCAACCTTTTCTTCTGTTTTTTCGTGAAAACTTCAACCTTCTCGAACGTGTACGGAACCAAGCCATACCCTTCTGTGTTCTTTCCCTGTGAGGATTCCAAAATTTAATTACTCAACTTCAATTGCAACCATTTTGCTCTTTCTTCACTTGGTTTTTCCTTCTGAATCCTGTTTGTTTGTCTTAGCCGATTCTGGTTCATTTTGCATGTGCTGTGTACCTGACAAGTTGTCTTTTTGTGTCAATGTTTTTTTTTTCTTCTCTGTTGGTTAATGTTTTTTCTCTCTCGGGTTGCTTAAAGTTTGAAAATTTTTGCAATTCTAGTATGCAGATGCATCTGGGGTATCCTTATTCACTGCATAGTTGTGCTTTGCTGCTTTATAGGTTGTAATGGTATCATGGGGATTTGTTCTTGACAGTCATTGATTTTGGTGATTTGTTGAATGATAGCAAGTTGATCAGAGACCGTGCTTAAGAATCATAGGTAAGTGTTTATGCTATTAACTGCTTTTACTTTTGACTACATAGTTGTGTTTTCCTTCTTTCTAGGTGGTAATGGTATCATGGGGACTTAATCTTTAAAATCAATTTTTTTTTTTGTGGTTTGTTGCATTGATAACAGGTTAAGCAGAGACTGTTCATGAGAATCATAGCTCATTGTTTATGCTAAGAAGTGCTTTTTCTATTTCACTACTTTGTTGTGTTTTTCTTCTTTCTAGATGGTAATGGTGTGAAGGGGATTTATCCCAGACAATAAATTTTGTGATTTGTTGAATTGATAGCAGATTAATCAGAGACTGTGAATAACAATCCTAGCTAATTGTTGATGCTGTGAATTGCTTTTTCTATTCACTACTTTCTTGTGTTTTTCTTCTTTGTAGATGGTAATGGTGTCAAGGAGGTTGATTCTTGACAATAATTTTGTTGTGAATTGTTGAATTTTGATATCACGTTAATCAGAGACTGGCAAAAGAAGCATAGATAATTGTTTATGCTGTGAAGTGCTTTTGATATTCACTACTTTGTTGTTGTGTTTTTCTACTTTGTAGATGGTAATGGTATCAAGGGGGTTTATTCCTGACAAAAATTTTGTGAACTGTTGAATTGATAACAGGTTGAACAGAGATTGTGCATGATAAATAAGCATAGCTGATTGATTATGCAATGAAGTGCTTTCACTATTTCAGAGATAAATCTAGAAACAGTAGGCAAAGGTCAGCACCTGAACTGAAGGAGAAAGAGAAAATGGACTTTTCAGGAGCTGAGAGGGTCACCAAGTCTTCAAGCTCATCTGCTTCACCCCGCGGTATACCAGAACTGTATGAGGAAAAGGGTCAGAATTTGAGGGTCTTCTCCCTCTCAGAGCTCAAGCGTGCAACAAGTGATTTCAACAGGCTTTTTAAGATAGGAGAAGGTGGATTTGGAAGTGTGTTTAAAGGTTCAATCCAGCCTGCTGATGGGAATGGGAATTCTGTTGTAGTTGCTATCAAAAGGCTTAACAAGGATGCATTACAGGTATGAGACTCAACAATTTCCTTGGGATGTAATTGATCAGAGACTTCTGCATACAAACTCTTATGTTTATGGTTCAAAGCATTTAGAGTCCAATTGTCACCATTTCCAATGTTTGTGTCTGTGTTAGTGTCAATGTCCCATGTTGTCTCATACATGTGTCTATGTCTGATATGTGTTGGACATATGCGTGTCCGAGCTTCATATCATTTATAATCCTCAGCCTCAATGGATCAGAATTTTTGTCTCACCCAATAGATTAAGTTATATCATCCGCTACACTGTCTATCTACTATTTTAACATTTATAAAAGTAGGGAGATTGGCTGGTGGGAAGATACTAATTTCCTCTGTTAAGTTATCTGAAAACTAACTGGTAGTACCTCATTACATTAGTCTATGTTAATGTACTTATAAATGAGTTAAGTTCAAAAAGACATCAATAGATGTCTATGCATTTATAGTTGCTTCTTTCATCCTTGGACCTTAGTTCAAGATGAGATAGTGTGTGTTGGAAATAATCTTCTTTTTAGTGGCAAAGATATCTCACTTTGGAGCTTTATATTTACTGCTAATTATTGGGATTTCTTCAGGCAATTCAAACACAACAAAATCTTCTCTTACATGTATTGATAAGATATTTTTCCTGATATATTTGGAGCCATATTTTCTACTTAATAATTTATAGGATTGAAGTTAATGTTCAGTATGTTAAGGTATAATTTACATATAGAGACATTGTACTGTAATGTAACTCCATAAATGGATTTCTGCTTTTATGGTATAAATTATTTATGATACTTCTTAATCAAAAAACCCTATATCATCCTTACTTTAAAGTACAGAGGAATTATTTTGATGGATCTTTTACTCTGACGTGCTAATTATATATAATAGACAAGATTTCTTTCTTGCTAAGGTCCTGAAATATCAATTATGTTCTAAAAATTTGTCATTTATGCATGCTGAAATTTGTTAGTAATTGAATAATTGGATATGGTGATATGAGGATATCCCTTTTGACTATTTTTCCTTCTTTCATGTAGGGCCATAAGCAATGGTTGACTGAAGTTCAGTTTCTTGGTGTTGTGGAACACCCAAATCTTGTCAAGCTTATTGGATACTGTGCTTTGGACGACGAACGAGGCATCCAGAGACTACTCGTGTATGAATACATGCCGAACAAAAGCTTGGAGTTTCATCTTTTCAATAAAGCTTTTGATCCTCTTCCTTGGAAAACTAGACTTGAAATAGCACTTGGAGCAGCTCAAGGGTTAACTTATCTTCATGAAGAATTAGAAATTCAGGTTAGAGTTTAAGAAATATGTTTATACATTATTCCTGCTCTCCCTTAGAGATATATATATGATCATTCATTGCACAGCTTAAGCTTTTAAGGGAGTTACTCCTTAATAAGAGGAATAAGATAAACATAAAAAGAAACAAATAAACTTTGATGATTTTCTAGAAAAATTCTTTTGAGGAAGTGACATCTTTAGCATACTCTTTTGAACTCAATCTCTACTATTTGGCTATAAATTAAAAAAATTGTCTGTCCTATTTCTTACATATTTAATCGCTCTTATGATTTGGTCCTTTTCTTGATGTGTATGTTAACTATCCATATTAATTGGAACTACCCTTTTAGGAAAGGGATCAGCAGCTATTGCATAATTTGTCCACATGATTATATCAGTATAGCTATAGTAAAATATGTAATACATAACTTTATACCACAAATTAACAGTGGCAACTCAGTGGAGTAATACCATAATCTTGGATTTCACATTATTAATTACCATTTTTCCTATCATTGAATTGCTTTTCTCTGTTTGATATAGCTTTTAATTTGAATTTATATCTCCTGAACTTTTCTTCCTCTGCTTTTAACAATTTGTATGCAAATTCTTTAGGTGATATATCGAGATTTTAAATCTTCAAATATATTACTGGATGGAGATTTTAAGCCAAAGCTTTCTGATTTTGGACTTGCTAGGGAAGGGCCAGTAGCTGGTGATACTCATGTTTCAACAGCTGTAAGTGCCATGCTATATTCAGCAGAGTTATCACATTGCATGCATTTTTCTGCATAGATTCTGAACTTAATTGTACTATTCGTAAACGTGACTTACCAAATATTTAACAACAAAAGTCTTGTCCTACCTCATGAAATCAGCTACATGGATTGCATGACTTCATTGAACTTGATTATTCACCCCGAGATGCCTCTCAATTTTTTCTTGTGACCTTTCTAACTGATGCTGCCAATGGCCATCTTTGCATGTGTCTAAACTACTTCAGTAACTTTTCTCTCATTCTTCCTTTATCAATGTTAGTCATGTTAAGAATTCAAGTATGAGTTAAAAGTCTTGAATAGAAATGAAAAAGTTGAGTATTATATAAGAAAAACAAGGCCTACAAACATTAAACATTAAACCTTCAACAGTGATTTCAGAGTCGATGGTTTGTCTTGGTGTTCAGTCTAAGTCGAGATAAGTATGTCCAATTGTGGTAAAGACCCATCTGTAGTTAGGGTTAGTGAGTGTGTTGAGATAATTGCATGGACAACCCATAGTTCAGATTTGGTCAATCTCCTCAATCTATTCCAGTATGGAAACAAATCCAACAAAAACCATTATCTTCTTTATATAATCAATGTCAAAGTTATGTATGATTATTATGAGGCTATGCAAACATTTTTTCATGTCAGGTGATGGGGACGTATGGTTATGCTGCTCCAGATTACATTGAGACAGGTCATCTCACAGCCAAGAGTGATGTGTGGAGTTTTGGAGTGGTTTTATATGAAATGCTTACTGGCAGGCGTTCAATGGAAAGAAACAGGCCTAAATCAGAGAAGAAACTGCTGGAGTGGGTGAAGCAATACCCTCCTGACAGCAAGAAGTTTGACACAATAATGGATCAGCGACTTCAAGGAGAGTATTCCAAGAATGGAGCAAGAAAACTCGCAAAACTCGCCGATCGTTGCCTGCGTAAGAGCGCGNCACATTGCATGCATTTTTCTGCATAGATTCTGAACTTAATTGTACTATTCGTAAACGTGACTTACCAAATATTTAACAACAAAAGTCTTGTCCTACCTCTCAATTTTTTCTTGTGGCCTTTCTAACTGATGCTGCCAATGGCCATCTTTGCATGTGTCTAAACTACTTCAGTAACTTTTCTCTCATTCTTCCTTTATCAATGTTAGTCATGTTAAGAATTCAAGTATGAGTTAAAAGTCTTGAATAGAAATGAAAAAGTTGAGTATTATATAAGAAAAACAAGGCCTACAAACATTAAACATTAAACCTTCAACAGTGATTTCAGAAATGATGGTTTGTCTTGGTGTTCAGTCTAAGTCGAGATAAGTATGTCCAATTGTGGTAAAGACCCATCTGTAGTTAGGGCTAGTGAGTGTGTTGAGATAATTGCATGGACAACCCATAGTTCAGATTTGGTCAATCTCCTCAATCTATTCCAGTATGGAAACAAATCCAACAAAAACCATTATCTTCTTTATATAATCAATGTCAAAGTTATGTATGATTATGATGAGGCTATGCAAACATTTTTTCATGTCAGGTGATGGGGACGTATGGTTATGCTGCTCCAGATTACATCGAGACAGGTCATCTCACAGCCAAGAGTGATGTGTGGAGTTTTGGAGTGGTTTTATATGAAATGCTTACTGGCAGGCGTTCAATGGAAAGAAACAGGCCTAAATCAGAGAAGAAACTGCTGGAGTGGGTGAAGCAATACCCTCCTGACAGCAAGAAGTTTGACACAATAATGGATCAGCGACTTCAAGGAGAGTATTCCAAGAATGGAGCAAGAAAACTCGCAAAACTCGCCGATCGTTGCCTGCGTAAGAGCGCGAAAGATCGGCCAACGATGAGTCAGGTGGTGGAGAGACTGCAGCAGATAATGGAAGACACTGATGAGGCAGATGACAGAAGTGTTGAGGTATCAGAAAATGGTCAAGCTGAGGCTGATGTGAAGGGAAATCAATTAAGGTCTTCAGAGTTGTGGAAAAAGAGGATGGAACATCTTGCAAAACTTGGTGAAAGTGTGGAGAGTGCTGGCAGAAAAAGATTTATGATCCTTCAGAGAGCCAATGTGTCCTCATAGTTTCATCTCTAGAAAACATTTTATTTTGCCTAAGTGTAGGTGAGAACAAGGCTCATTTTATGTGTTTAATGCTCCCAAGCCAATCTTTATGTGATATGTTATCAACCCTTTTTCTCAAAGTGAAGCATGTGATTATTTATGTTGCATATTAAAATGGCTTAGGGTTTGAGATTAGAACTTAGCCCCTAATCCCTGTTCACTTGAATGAATTTGAGGGAAAGTAATTGAATAAATTTGAGAGAATTTGAAAGTAAATTTTTTGTTGTTTGTTTGAGTGAATTTTAAAGGTAATTGAGAGTGGATTTGAGAGTAAAGTCTGTGAGAATTAGTATAAAATTTGATTGATGTGACAGATTAAAAAAATTTATTTCCAAATTCATCCTTACTTTCAAAATTCACTCAAATAAACAACAAAAAATTTACCTTCAAATACTCTCAAATTCATTCAATCATTCTCTTCCAAATTTATTTAAGTGAACAAAGATTTAAAATTCAGTTGAGAATTCTTAGGATGTTGCTAAACTTTTAGGTTTGATGATATTGTAACAAAAGGTATGAGAAAAGACTTGTCCTGTTATAGTAGAAAGATTTAGGAATCTTACACAAGAAATATAAAAAATAAAGGAAAATGATATATCATTATAATACAAAATATTAAAATTAGAAGGAAGAAAAGAATTTAAAGTTCAAATAAAACTAGGATGATAGACTAAATTGGAAATCTTTTATTAACTTTTTCGTAATTACAAGTTACAAATGATATAGTGAAGTATAATGCATCAGAAGAAATTTTAGAGTTCCAAATCAGTAAGATTATATATCATAATGACATGTTAATTATAATTTATATACCTCACTATAAAGTAACAAAAAATTTAATTATAATTTAAGATTTATGTGATTGGAAGAAATTTTAGACTTCCAAATCAATAAGATTATATATCGAATCTTATAGTGACATGTTATAATTTATATACCTTTTTAAATAACAAAAATGAATTATAATTTAAGAGTAACACTTTAGAAAATAGTGTAAGTCTGTTTTAAATAATGGAACTTGATTATTTATAATGTTCAAAAGTTTAAAGTATAAATAGAACTTATATAAATAATTTTTATTATCTAAATCTATACCATCTTTTCAGATTTTTTATTTTTAGAGCTATGTATCCTTTTGCTAAGAAATTTGATTCCCTTTTCATCTGTATAAAGATTAAAGATCATAAGTGATCTTTGAAGCCAAGATTTTCTACTTTAATCAATTAATTTTTACAAAAGTGTGAGTTGATTTATATTACTTTTTTTAGTTTGTGCATTTTTCTCATACATACGAGCTACCTTAAAAAAACTCAATTTAATTATCAAACCATTCAATTCAATTCCAAATACAAATCAATTAGATTTAACAAATATCATTTTCAATTAACATATCTAATTTTTACACATTAAAACAACTAACTTTCTTTACCTGAAATCAACAATTAAAATATCTCTAAAACACTCTTTAATGTACACTAGCTCAAAATGTCCTATAAACAACGGAAATATAATCATAACATATAATTAAAACAACTGACCAACAAAAATTAGCATGAAAAATACAAACTCTATATGCGAGCTAAAAAGGGGTCACGTGTAAAAAAATAACCTAATAAAATTTAATTAAGATATTGTTTTGGTAAGGTATTTTAAATTCTCAGTACAAATAAATTATTCTTTAAAAATTTTCATCCAAACACATTATTAAGTCTAACAATTTCTTGCATTACTTATTCATTTTATTTTTCTAAATCAAACATATCATATAGACGCGTATGCTTTCATGTAGTTCGACAAACCCAAGAATCAAAATTTTAAGTTTTCCTTTACATTTTATATTCTACTAATATCAACTTCTTTTATCATGTGAATAACTAAAAAAAAAGCTGTAAATATTATTTTTGAAATAAATATCACAAATTAGTATTTTGTATACATATTAATTCAATTCATGATTGAATAACTATCTTTGAATGTAGCTCATCATCACACTACCACGAAGCATATAAAATTTTGTTGATAGTAATAAAAAATAACTTTTTTATTCATAAATAAAAAAAAAACTTGAAAAAACCCAAATTCTAATCTATCAACATTATTAGAATCATTCAGCTATCCAAATTTTTATACTTTGATTACATTCCAAATTAAGAACTAAATCAATAGAATAATTACAATTTAATTGATCGAACACATAATCAAACTTTGAAATCATGATGTATTTTCATTGATCAAGGGTCATTATCTTGACAAATTGACAACAACTTCCTAAAAAGGGTTAAATATGTTTTTAGTCCCTAAACTATTGACCGTTTCTGGTTTTCGTCCCTCTTTAAAATAAGGTACAATTTGGTCCTCATTCTTTTCGAAAAGTTCGTTTTAGTCCTCGAAATTTTGGTTTTAGTCCTCATTTGTTGCTAAATGAGGACCAAATTTTTAAACAGTGTTTAGTTTTCGAGGACTAAAACGAACGTTTCGAAAAGAATGAGACCAAGTTGTACCTTACTTTGAAAGAGGGACAAAAACCAGAAACGACCAATAATTTAAGGACTAAAAAGATATTTAACCCTCTAAAAAAGATTATTCATTTTTGTATAAAATTGAAAACTTTGGCCTTGTCTCTATCATATGAACAGATGAGAAGTTAAAATGAATTTAATGTTTGGTACGTTTCTGTGACTGACTTATTATGTCACTGTTATTATTATTATTATATAAAAGCCTACACGTTAGACCTAATTGACTGTGATATTAATTAGGTAAGCAGATTCATCAACTTCAATTAATAATTGACAACAATAATTAATAAAAGTTATTAAACTAAATTACCTGTCACATTTTCCTTTTGTTCCCTTCTGCTAAATTTTCATGCATTAAATTTGGGTCAACTATTCTAAAAAGAAATTAAAAAAAAAAATATATGGAACACCATCACTTTTTCAACTGCGTTCTTCTTCCTCCATCTTGTGAGTTTAGTTAGAATCATTGACTTGTTTGCCTAGCTAGTTGGCTGCATCCTCAGCTTCGATTGTCATGTCCTACTCTTGATGGCAAATCATGTTCATTTGTTTATTAAAACTTGTGATAGGTTACAACAAATTTTAATTTCATATCATATATAATGGTAGAAAGATTTTATTAATTTTCTTAATTAGTGATTTATCTTTCTAAAAGAATTATGTATATATTACATATGGATGATGTTGATGATAGGAAAAGATAAGACTGAAGAAAAAAAAAACTACTTTCAAGAAGACATAGCAGCAAAAATTGTCATGAAAATTTTTAGCTAAATGAAGAATGTTCTAGGATTAAAGTTTATTTGAGGTATTTTTCAAATAGACTATTGCATACGTCTCAATAAAATATATAGATTGAAATATTAGTAGTCCATGTCATATAATTTATATCGGATTAAAAAATAAATTAAAAAAATCCAATGACATATTTATAAATAATAAATATTTTTTAGATTCTTCTGACGTAAAATCCACGTTTACATCTAACTAGGGTATGATTATTTTTGGAAATTTCAATAATAATTGATTTTGTATTTCTAATTTATTATTTGTTTACTGTTTTGTCATTAGTACAATTTTCACTATTACAGAATTACTTTTCTAACATCTTAAAACGAATAATTTTGTAAATTTCGGGAATATATAGACTTGAATTTACCTAAGAATTAAAGTTATATATACTTTTGGTTTCGGTTAAAAAATAACTGAAGTTTACAAGAGTGTCAAATCTTTAAAATAATTTAAAAAGCTGACAATTTAAATTATTCTTTGAACTCAGAACTACTTTCATAAGATCTTCCAAAACTGATAATTTTTAATTATTACATGTCTAAATAAGATCTATAATTTTGGTTATTTATAGAACCGTTGTCATAAATTTTTTTAAAATTCAGAGTTTTAAAATATTACATGATTGTTTGCAAATCTCATGTCATAGAGTATTTATGTTTCAATTTTACACAAAACTGAGGTCAAAAGTTTGATTCGAATTTCAAAATTGCTAATAAAAAATTTAATTTTTTAGTTTATTTACAGGCTTTAGGTATTGGCTTTACTAATAATCAATGCCATATAGGTGTTATTGCTTCAATTATCAAAATAACTGAAGCAATATGTCTTCTCGAGTTAAAATTTTGCAAAATGTCACAAAGGATCCACTTCTATAGTTATTTTTCTTCCTTTCACCTATGCGAACCAACGTCGCTACATTATGTGGTCTCCCTTCATCTCTAAATGTGAACACCATCAACCATTGTCACTACTCCAACGTCGTCGTACCTTTAATTAGTCATTGTCGTCGTTGCCCCACCTCTCCGTTCGTTCTTTGCTTTCGTCGTTGATCTTCTTTGTTGTGACGAGAGCGATTTTCTTTGTTTTTTATGTTTGCTTTTGTTTCTGAAACTAATATGTGGTTTGTATTGTGTCCAAGTACTGTATTTTTTTGGTGGAATTTTGTACCTTTCCAAAACAGGAGTAGTTGCATTCTTCTCCATTGTTGTTCGCCTTTCATACTCCCAGATTCCTAATATTATCTTTAAAATTTAGTTTTTAATATGAGCCTATAATTTTGTAATATATTTATTTTTTGTATGTTGGATATGTGATTAATTGTATGCTTAAATATATTGTTGTATTGAGTTAGTCTTAGTTTCCCATTTAAGATTCAATACAAAAATTATTTACTGTCTCCAAGGTTTTTGAAGAAATGCATTTTTTTTTAAAAAATGAATATAAGAAGAGACGGTACTAATAATTTATAAGTATTGAATCTTGAATTATCTGGTTGGACAATTTAAGAAGATTAATCATTTTTTCATAGTTTATTATGGTGCATATAAATTTTAATATACATGTTTTAAAATTCATATGCCACCAACTTCTTTTCACATGAAGGATATATATTTTGTCCCTTATATTGTTCATTAAGTATAGTTTGTTAATTTGTAAGTTTCATCTATGATTTTAAAGTATAACAATTAAATCATTATCAATTGAGACATCATTGGCAACTACTTGTGGTTTTCCTACCGAACAATATTGTTGTGTGGTTTTGCTCATTGCACAAGTATTCCCCAAACATCTTAAACAAGTAATAGCTTAGTAAGAACCTCAATGTTATGAACT